GGGTCATGTTAGGTATACAGAGAGGTTTGAGGTCATTGCTTATAAAGGGCTCATGGACTAAACTCAAGCCAGCACGGCCCAGTAATCATAATGTGGTAATCTGTGAACTGCCCTATACCTCTGGGTATAGGGTGGTAAATAAAGTCAATTAATAATAATCCTCATGATCCTCTCCATTCAATTCTTGTGAGGGTCAGGTAGATTGCACTACATACACTGTCAAGAGCTACCAAGCATTTGTGAATGAGTGTAGGTTGGACAGAGACAACTCTCCCTTGTCTCAAGCTCATGATTTCCATATTCTACTTCCAGATTTTGACACTGTCCTCTGTGCAAGGCCATATGGGTACATATAAACACAGGTAAAATGTTCCTTATGCCACTACATACAGGAATGCTTACAAAGGAATTGTGAAAAATTAAAAATCCTGGGGCACCAGTATCATAATGAACTGGCAATAACTATAATGCTACAGCAAACATCATAATTAAATACTCATAATTTATGACTGGCACTTTATTTCACTGATTCCTTCCTTTCAGAACTGTTTGCCCTATTAGAAAGTATCATTTCATAGCATTCTTCTTGCATAAATGAAAGAAAACACAATAGATACTGGAACTGGTGGCATCCTGGGACAAGTCTGCTTTTATGAAAGGAGCTACTTCATTCCTTCCTGGCATATTCTGAAACTGCCAAGCAAGAGGAAGAACAGGATGGTGCAGAGAGAGAGAGAGGAGGGGTGAGAAGGGCAGCAGTGAAGAGGAAGAATTCTCCTCTCACTTAGCTGCTCTTCACACTTGAGCCAATCTTGGTAGATGTGGCAATATACCTCCATGCTGCCTGAACTGTCCTGTGGGAGTGGAAAGAGTCACAGGGGGATGTGAGCAAGACAGCTCATTCCTTTTGCTCTCTTCCTCCTGAATATCGTCAGTGCATATCAGAAACACGGGGGGGGGGTGGGTGGGTTATTGCTTGATTTGCTGGGTGAGGGAAACGCAGAACCACACCTGACAACCAACAACACTAACGGTATTACTAACAGGAGCCCATTACATGACTTAAAATAAATGGCAATGTCCTTCTGCCTGTCTCTTCTTCCTAAGCTATCTCACCCAAAGATACATTTCTAGTTGCAGACAGATTTCTCTCAGGTGTTTGGAAAGAGACAAATTAGTACACGAGTTAAAAATTAATACAATTTTTTTCATTAAAAGAGAATAGTTATTTCCTCTGAAATCATACATGGACGAAAGCAAGAGACAGCTCTTCGGCATCCATTCCTATATTGCAGTTTTCATTGGTTGCAATGACCATTCACTTATTTAAAAGCAGTTTACTGTGACAGACTATTTTATTCCTTTCATGTTGGCAGAGTAAATCTGTGTTTGTCTGGCTGACTGCAGAGCACATATTTATGCAACTGACATGCATGAAAAAAGCATAGTAGCAACATTTTCCCCAGTTTGCTCTGTAAATCACAGCATTATTTTTATTTTGTTTGTTGCAAATATAGTTTATCATTTGACTCAGTAAAACACCATTCAGAAGGAGATAATACATTTCCTACCACGTACAAATGAACTGCAGCACTCACATTAAAATTCCTATCTTCTGTTAGGTCCCATAAAACAGTTATATTTATTGGTAGCTGTTATTTGAGTGATTCACATAAAGACACAATTCTGAGTGCCGGTTCCTGGCTTAATATTAGCAGAGAACCTTCTAGATCACTCACAATTAGGGCTGCTTCACACATTAATTTGTACATGTAAAGCATTTTATCTGAAACTTTTAAAAAAAACCCAACACAAACATGTTCACACAGCAGAACCCTATTTCCACAGCTTATCTGCTGCTGACCTTTAAATATGAGTTACAAGTAAGCTTTGAGATGGAAGCAGGAAGGGACTGCGACTACATGTGAACCACTTGCACAAGCAAACAACAGTTTCCTCCTTCAATGGCCATCTCTCAGTTTTGAGTGACTAGCAAGCTTCCTCATAGGTGAGTAGGACTATAGTATAGCATTCCCCAACCTGAGACCAACCAGACACTTCGGACTACAACTCCCAACAGCCTGAGCCAGAATGGCCAATGATCAGGGATAATGGGAGTTGTAGTCCAAAACATCTCAAGTTAGGAAATGCAAGTGCATTGTGCTCCTTTTACAGCAGCAGTGGGGAGTGGGATGGGGTGTAGCCACCGTCCCAAGACTGGTGTTTCTGCTGTTGAAGCAAGGCAAAGTTGGGGCTGCATGGTCGCCCTGCCCCAGCCTGGGTAAGCAGCAGCAACAGGAGGGCGGCTCTGCCCCACCATATGTGCCACTATTGCTTTATTGATAGCAAGTGCGAGAATCTCATTTAGGAAGAGCAACTCTTCTGTTAAGTATTAACGGAGCAAGATCAGTGGAACAAACTTAGACATAATTGATCTAAACTGAATTTGGAATCAGCCCACCTGGCCAATAATTTTCCTTTTGGATATGAGGGAACAATATACCTTTTCTATGGTTGCCTAGGGAGTATTTATTTATATTATCGATCTACTTGCATTCATTATTTACCATGAGACATTCAAAGATGCTTGAAAGAAGTACGTCTATTTCTGCAGACTGAAAACCAAAACTAAAAACAGAAAAGTTGCTAAGTGCACATATGAGTCCAATTGTGGTAAAGATGCTGTAGTTCTTTTATTGGGAGACTGCCAATTGGGGGGGGGGAGAACTATGATTTTTTTTATGATTACAATGTTGAACAATTGCAATTTTATAGTATATGCTTTCAGGCTAAACATTTAGTTTATTCCTGGCCAGAGATATGGGGAAAGAGTCTCTCTCAGCTGTTATAATTGTTACTTGTTTTCGTTTCATCTATCCTCTCCCACCCTAGTGATTTGGATTTTTCAGTTGTAATAAATTATTTCGAATTGACAAGGCAGTGAACACTCCCATAAGCATTCATGGAATTTTGAATAGGCCAGAACTTTTTGGATACTTACTAAGTAACAAGAGGCAATGCTCTTAGTCACTGCACATGTAACTTCACTTAAAGCAAAATCTGTACTTTCATCTTAATGAGAAAGGAGAGGAAATTCTCTCCAACAATGCTGAAAACCTTAAGAAATGTAGGAAAGGTATCAAACTACAAAGAGCTTTATAGGACAAGTAAGAAGAGTGTCACAGTCAGATTGCAATCCTATGTACACTTACATGGAAATAACTCTGAAGGAAAATAGTGGTACTTGATTTCAAATAATGATGCACTGGACTGTGAAATCAGATAGATAAATATGTGATTATACAGTATCTCAAATTCTACAGTAATTGGCAACAGTCTTTGGGCTAGTCATAAAAAGAAACACATAAAGAAAAGCATTTTTCTGTGGCACAGATACCTTGGTGGTCTAGAATAGTTCACAACCCTGATTTTGCTAGTTTCTGCCAATCTATTCAAATAATCTGGGCATGTACCCTGTATGTAATCATTTATCAAATCTACATACCCATTTGCTAGAGGGAAGAACATTAAAGCAATTATATGTGAAGATATATTACAAAGCAAAGACTAAATTTTATACACTGATAATTAAGAATGGGAAAGTACAATAAAAAAATCACACTTAGTTCAGTACTGAAGCTGACAGGAACTTCATTATATTTATTAAGCTTGAAAAATGCAATTTCCTTTCCCTGCATCTTTGCAATGGTCAAAGTTGCCAGGTTGTTCAACAGCATTTTCTACCATCAGTTATGCAAGACCTGCCTTCTCAGCATTGCAACTGAGAACAGGCTAAGGACCAGCTTGAAAATAAAGTTCTTCTTGGCAGCCTATCTAGATTTCGTCATGAATTATGCTGCATCCCAATATATATTTTTTTAAAAAGTCTTGCCTAAAGTCTAGCCAGTACTGACAAAAATGCAATCCAATGAGTTCAGAGTGAGGTTCCTGTTTTGCTTTGTAAAAATTTTCCTCTTCCCTTGAAAAACAGCCTCGTGCATGAATTTCAGACAGGAAAACAGCAAGATGATTTAGAATAGCAGTGTGAAAACAATGTAGATAAGTGACATCAGCAGATCCAATAACATGTCTTTTATTTCCAATAAATACAGGGCAAGTAAAAACAGAACAAAAGGAGTGCTAACAAATAAAAGTAGGTACAACAATGTTATCAGCTAGAGCTATGTAGCCCAGCCTTGTTTTTAGCGACCCGCCTGATGGCCAAGGCAAGGGCAACCAAGAATTTGATGCAGGCACATGAGCAGGCTGGCAAAGGAGGGATTGCTCAACCACCAGTTCATGGAATAAGTAAACAAATTGTAGGACAGATCTAGGAAGAGCCATAACTGGGGAACCAGGCAGAGCTGGACACAGGCACTACTCCCTTATGCAAATGTAAGTATTTCTGTTCTTCCAAATTAAATTTTTTATTGGTTTTTACTTGTTTAGGTATGGTGGAAGGGGAAAACAAAGCAACACTCTTGAACATCAGCATCTCATGAAGGGTATACTCAGGAGGTCTTACATATTTAACATAATAAAAAATTTCCTTTCAGTAGCACCTTAGAGGCCAACTAAGTTTGTTATTGGTATGCGCACTTCTTCAGATACACACGAAAGCTCATACCAATAACAAACTTAGTTGGTCTCTAAGGTGCTACTGGAAGGAAATTTTTTATTTTGTTTCGACTACGGCAGACCAACATGGCTACCTACCTGTAACTATATTTAACATAAGTTACCTTTGACCAAATAAAAAATAAGGTTGCAATTTAATGAGCACTTATTTGTGAATAAGCCCCACTGAATATGGTGGGAATTACTTCTGAAAAAACATAAATCTCTCACGTCAACCGGGGGGGGGGGAGTTAACTTGTTCTCTGAACAAGTTACGTGCTTCTCTGTATTTTATATAAACTCCGTCTCAATGTTTCAAGACCATCTCTTGCCTCTGCATTCCATGAAAGCACCAATACCTTATATTAAGCATCTCTACTCACCTTCCACACTATCAGAACAGGAGGTTCCGATACCAGTGTCCCCACTGTCAGAAGCTATGCTGTGTCTTCTCAGGTGGGTACTCCGACCACTTGAACCACCAGTTGTGGCTTGCCACAGTGGATCAGTACCAGGTAACCATCGCGACGAAGAATATTCTGTGCCTGCCAAGAAAAAAGTATATTTATTCAAAGTCATTATGACAGAGTTCAACAACAAACTGGATTTTAAAGATAGTATCCACAGATGTAAAATTAGGAAACATCAAAACCTGTAGCAATTTGTTCTACGGTAATCTAATGATGTAGTTTATCACAGAAGTTGCACATGAATGCATTCAAACAAATGGCAGTCTCTTGTTAAGATCTGGTATCATTCAGTTACTACATTGTATATTTGTTGTGTTTATTCTCAACCTAGCTTTGCTCAAGGCTCAGAAGATATTGCAAAATACAGTTTATTTTTTGCTATGCATTTCTTTGCAAGTAAGGTTTTGAGAGGCAAGCTGGAAGTCATCATACATTCAGACACACAGAAAATGTTGCTCAGGATTCTAAAAGGCTAGTTTTCTCAAGTTTTAATTTAATTAAAATGACCCTTAAGAGAAGTGTAATTAATATTATATGAGAGCTTGACACCAAACCACAATCTCCTCAAAAGGGTTTTCAACAGCTTCCTTCCAGCAGACAAAGTTTCATTTGTCTGACACAAAAGACTCTTGGCTAGAGGGCAACTTTTAGCAATCACTTCAACCGAAGACACTAAACAACTGCATGCTATCTGATATAAAAGAACAGAAATACAGTAAATATAGTTCAGCTCATCATCTATGGATTTCATGACCTTACAGCATGTCACAAGCCATCTATTCAGGTCAGATCTTGAATGAAAAGACTTAAAAGCCATGAAGAAATACAGATTTTATGAGTTGTGACACAATGTAGTAGAGGCCAGCCTTCAGTAAGTGCAAGATACACCCTATTCCAAAAAGTCAATTAATTAAATAAAATCACAATTGAACAATTAACTAAAGGGGAACCTTGAATAATGCCAGATGCACACGGGCATGCACACTCACATCGACAAACACTCATTGTGATTTGCTACATCATAACTAAACAGAGCAAAGCAGCAGAAAGCACATTTCAAATTCAACTAATAAGGCACTTGGACTTCGTGCCAACCACATCTATTCAGGTTCCTTGATTCTTATCCTCTATACTGCTGTCGCTACTTATTACATCTTTACACTTTCAATTCCGTTTGTGGATTCCAGTCTATGGAAGGATAGACATTTCCACTCAAGCTGCCCCCTCTTCTATGTCTGCACACAGCCAATCAGCTATGCTGGTGCTACTGGCTAACACACACTTCAGATACAGTAATAAGCTCTTTTAGTAAATTACAAGTGACACGCAGTGTGGCAGGACAAACCTGACCCACTTGCATTGCAGAGGAAGCTCATACCTTGCTTGAAGTATTATTCATGTGTGCATGTCTGTAGTGCTCAAATTTTAAAAAGAACTGCAGAACGTAATTTTGCCAATTGGTATGCGCTAATCCCATCCGCGCTTTGCTAATTCCCATCCCACTTCAAAGCACTTGCCTCTACAATGCAAATATCAAATGTATGTAAAAGTCAGGGGACTGAGCCAAGTATAACATGGGCAGATGATGCACAAGCATGTCCATTATGTCCTGCCAGGTTGCCCTCGTTATCCTGCTGTTCCTTCTTCATTTTTGCCAATCAGAACAGACTGCCGGGCCTACCCAGTTTGTGAGGAGCAGGGGAATAGTAGAGCAATACATATGGATGACAGGAGACATTGGAGCAAATCATGCAACCTGTGCCAAGGCTTGAAATGGGCAGGTTCCCATTTTTCTTAAAGGATCAAAAAATTACTACAATTTTAGTTGCATGTAAAATGGACTCTGTGATTACCAAGGAATTGTATTATTTCCTTAGGTTTTATTAAATCAAAATAGGGAAGCAATACTTTTTTTACCAGCAAGTGTAGTAAAATGATGGCACGGAGACTGCTTTGAGGCAGCAGCTACACTTAATTATAGCAGAATCTATGGATTTTATGCAACTAAACATAATGCAAAATCTGGTAAAATTTTAGACACACAGCAGCAGAGAAGAGAGTCACACAGAAGATTGCCTCTTTAAATTTTATTGATGCCTTGAATAGTGTAGACTTACAAAATGTATTATTATTAATTATTATTCTTCATCATCAGCCCTTTGCCATGAAGTCTCAAGATGGGTAACAACAATTTAAAAATAAAATAAAATATTGAAATAATTTAAAACAAATGATAGTTAAACTAATAGGTCGGGTCTTGAAATACAGACCTCGGGTGTCAAAGACCAGGGTAAATTCAACATAGGACAAAAACTACTTATTAAAGGCAACAGACACACCTCAGTGGGAAGGAAATTCCATAGCTTAAGGGCTGACAAAGAGAATGCTCTCTCCTGGAACACCACCACTCAGAACTTGAGGGCAGTGGAACTACCAAGAGTGCATAATGCATGTATACTCCACTGTCACAGTTAAGCACTATAAAATCCTTCAATGTCCTGCCTGTAGAAGATCGAAATGATGTAAGGGGAGGAAATAAGAATATATAGATCGCAGACAAGATGTAAGAATATAAACCTTGGATTTCCATCTTCCGGATTTGAGGACTGGAATAACAACTCCATTAGGGTAGTATTTATAGTATGAGAACTATAAAAAAGGTAAAGGTAAAGGACCCCTGACACTTACGTCCAGTCGCAGAAGACTCTGGGGTTGTGGTGCTCATCTCGCTTTATAGGCCGAGGGAGTCAGCATTTGTCCGCAGGCAGTTTTTCTGGGTCATGTGGCCAGCATGACTAAGCTGCTTCTGGCACAACCGAACGCCAAAACCAGAGCAGCGCACGGAAAGGCTGTTTACCTTCCCGCCGAAGCAGTACCTATTTTTCTATGTGTACCTTTTGGGGGCATGCTTTCGAACTGCTAGGTTGGCAGGAGTATATACTATATAATATATACTATAGGTAGTATTACGGTAATTTACTGTCCTACTTGTAAATAACTTCTGCACTGACTGCATCTTATACTGTAATTCTTAATTCATAGCTGTAGTTGTCTCTAACAGCTGGTGAAATAGCTGACTTATACTTTTTTACGAGACAATTGCTTATCTTCAATGGATCAGCAGTAGGCCACAACAATTTCCAAAACATAAAAATACATAAAATGGGACTTCACTAAATGATATTCAATGTAAGCAAGAGAGAGCATTGCTCAAAGAGCACAGGGGTATTCTGAGAACCAGACAGAGCTGTGTAGGTATATACACATAGACGCATGCAAGAATGGAAGGAAAAGGAAGGTAAGCAAAAGTTTCTCTTTGAACTTTTTACTCAGCACTTGCAACAAGCAGTCGTCATCATTTCCGTAGTGGCACATGGTTGCTGCATAGTAAGTTACAGCCCTAGAGGGCTTCAACTGTAATTAGAGTGACACAAGTGAGACAAAGACAGCCTATAAACAATCTACTTTAGCACAATGATAAGCTCTTAAAGCTCATGTTTTCATTCAAGCGCATTTGTGTAACACATAAAACCAGCATAGATATCAACTAACGAACTTTCAGGGCCTTTGTAGATTTCATTTTAATCCGGGACTTTGGAAACCTGCATGACTCAAATTGCACGGAATATGGCAACTAAAATGTATTCCTTTGCACACAATCCTAAGAATCTGTTTTCATTTTCATGTTGCAAGTCTCTAGCCTACATATTACCTGAGCAGGCAGGGAATATAAAAAAGGGAATGACCATTTTTCCTTTAATAGGAATTCCAGTAATCAGAGAAAGGTCCATTTGCTAAGTGCAACCAGCGGCCATTTCTCATGGCAAAATCACATTTTCTTGGCCTTAAAATCCAGCTTCTTCCTTTATACACAGACAAACTGAATGAAACATTCCAAATTCTGGAAGACAAAAATTCCTCACAGAAACCATATGTGACATTGTACAAATTGTATGAACTGTGCAAAGCTCATTTATTCTACCTATTCCACTTGCAGAACCAAATCCTAGTATTAAAAAATTGGACAAGAGGAGTTTAGAGCTGAGTTGTACAGCCCTGCCAATTAGCTATTTTGCTCCTATAAAGTCTGTTAATACACAGCAGAAACAGAAAACTGAGCTACAGATGTTTCTTATTTCTACTTTGGGACGCAAATGCAATGTATTAGCTCATGCCTTCTATTGCTGGCTCACCTCCCCATCCTCCTAACCAATGCACTCTTCACCTATAGTAACTATTCCTCTTTTACACTCTCTGTTCAACCAAATTATTCCATGTGGGGAGATTTCGTTTTTAAAAAACAGCCAGAGAATAGTAGATTTACACTGCTTTATTCTAAGCTGTTTTCAGATCAGAGTTTTACATTGGTTTGCAAACAATTTTACTGCTTATAATCAAAATACAGTCCTCTCATGAGTTATGCAGCAACCACCAAAAAAAAAATTTTTTTTAAAGAGAAATGTAACTAACAACAGTCGAGCCTGCTCTGCATAACGAAAGGACTGCAGAACGTAAGGCAGGGCTTGGCCACACAGTAAAGCAGAGGTGCAGGTCTGTAACAGCCAGGTCTTAGGGTGGAATGACAGGGATATGTGTTGGCATATTCCTGCAACCACTTGGAAACTAAACGTTGTTTGTTGCACAAAAATGCATTTTACATTGTCATTAAAAATAGCATTTCATGCTGCCAAATTTCCAATGAATTTTTTTAAAATTTTTTGCTATACAGCCGTACCTTGGATCCCAAACACCTTGCGACTTGGACATTTTGGCTCTTGAACGCCGCAAACCTAGAAGTGAGTGTTCCGGGTTACGAACATTATTTGGAACCCAAACATCTGACACTGCTTCTGACTGCTTCTGCAGCCAATCGGAAGCCACACCTTGGTTGTCAAACGTTTTCGGAAGTCGGACGGACTTCCGGAATGGATTCCGTTCAACAACCAAGGTACGACTGTACCATGAACTTGAAGTAAGAAAGCTGATCTTGGAAATTTTGGTAAGCAGGGGCAGGAAGACGCTTGATTTACTGAGTAATAGGAAGATGTACAGTAGCTAGCAAGATATCCATACAA